AGCATCAACTTGATGGGGCTGCTGGGGAGGACTGCGTGAGACGATAGAGGGGAAGAGCGTCAGACTGTGTGAGTGTGCACACAGGCACATGGGTGAATGACAGGCTGCCCTACGCGGACTCCCTTCACAGGACCCACTCAGCTACTCATTTCCTCCATGATTTAGAGGCTGAGCATCTAACAAGTCATTCCAGCTGCTTAGCCTGGCATTGAGAACTTATGCCAGGCCCCTGTCCTAACCATCTCCTGCTGTACCACCTCAGTCCCCTTTCACAGCTACAGAAACACCAAGAGACCCCCTCCTTCGCTGTGCCGGCCTGACTCTCTGGAATGCCCTTCCTCTAGCCCCACTGGATGACCCCTACCTGCCGTTCAAGGTCAAGGTCCTCCACAAAGTATAGCACAGGGGTTGAGAGTGAAGCTTCTAGAGCCAGGTGCCCTGGGGTTGAAGGTTGAAGCCTGGCTCTGGCACTTGGGATTTGCATGGCTTACCCTGGAGGCCTGTGTTATCTTGTTCTCAAAGCATGGAGAATGGCTACCTCCCAGGGTTGCTATGAGATCGAATGAGATCCTGCACATAAGTGCTTTGTATGTGGCCTGGCGTGCAGTGAGTCTGCACCTGGTGCAAGAACCCATCAGCGTGTGCTTGAGTCCCTTGCCCCAAGTCAAGTTCCTCCATCTTCCCGAGCACCCAACATGTGCTAGGTGCAGGGGGAGAGGGTGGGGCCCAGACAGACCCTGCCCACCTGGAGTTCCTGGTCTCACCTGGGGGCCAGGAAATGGACACAGATGACAAGGTCCTTTATACCATACTCACCAAAGCTCCCTGTGCAGAGTAGGTTTTCAGATCAGAGTTTAGAAGCAGAAACACTCACTGATTGTCCCCAAATCAGGGCAGCCACTTCACATTCATCATCTCATTGTCTCCGGGCCAGCCTTCGAGGTACGGGTACCAAGCCCCATATTTAGATGAGCAAGCCGAGGTTCAGAGAGGTTAAGTGACTTGTCCAAGGTCCTGCAGCTGGTTAGCAGCGAAGCTGGGACCCAAATCCAGGTCTGCCTAATACTGAAGCCCCAATTCTTATGGGTGGGCCATGAAGACCCAGGGGAGGGAGCAGTGACCAGGAAAGAGGCAGGAAGGAAGTTGCCTTGGGAACCATCCCCCAAAATGCTGAGGTGTAGGAACATCTCAATGTCTTGCCAACCTGCCCTGCCACTGAGAGGCCACCTGCCTCCCTCCTGGCAGTTCCCAGCCTCACATTCAGCTGATAGGTGATCTCACTTCTGACTGTCACAGCCAAATGGTCAATGGTAATTAATTCAATTTGTTCAGCAGGGAAATTGAAGACTTGGCTTATAGTAGTGATCTGACGTTAACGTGTAATTTATGCTAGCTGGAGCCACAGACATGCCTTTCTCCCCTGAACTGAGAATGGGTCCTACTAGAAGACCATGTCACTCCAGGTAATGAGGAGCCTGACTGGTGGTCTGCTGCTTGGGTTGAGAGACGGCTAGGGAAGAGCAAGATGATGTCAGCACAGAGAATAACAATTCTTCCATGCCCCCCCAGAGATGAGCAGATTCAGAAAAGGGGGGGCCTAAGTGAGGTGCTAGAGGACGTGTTCACCAGGACCCAGCATGGGGCCAGGTGCCTGACCTCCACGCTCTCTGGCCTTTGCCACTGCCCACATGTGACATTAGCCTCTGGTTGCAAATAGACATATGGACATCCAGGGAGGCTGCGTCCTTCCCTAGCCCCGGTGACCCAGCTGAGCAGAGGCAGGACTCAAGATCCAGGTCTCTGCAGACTGCAAAGCCAGGCTTTTCTTTACCCTGGCACAGAGTCTGGATTGCCCTTTGGCGAAGATTTGCTCCCCTCCCCACCACTGTGGGCGGAGTGCACTGCCCCACCCCGACCACCCAGGGCTTGAACATCACTTGTTTAGGCCAACAGAATGTGCAGAAGATTAAAAACTGCCAAAAACTTTTTGCTACTCCTCCCATTCTGGGGAAGGCATTTTCCCTCTGCCCCCTTGAATCTGATCTGTTTGTGACTTGTTTTGACCAACAGCATGTGGTGGAAGTGATACGTTCTGGAACCTGGCCTTAAGAGGTCTTGCTGCGTTCACTACTGCCCTCTTGAAACGCTGCCCAGAGAGAACCATGTCAGGACGTCAGGTGAGCCTGCTGGAGGATGCGCGGTCCACCGGGAAGGACTGAGGCATGCCAGGTGACCACTAGCCAGTGGCCAGTCAGGGAGGGAGGCCGGCTTGCATGTTCCAAGCACTCCAGCTCTGACTGCAACCCCACAAGCAAGCCCAGGTGCGAGGAGGAGAGGAACTTCCTAGTCAACCCACAGAACTGTGAGAAATGCCCAGTCACTGCTGTTTTAAGCCACTCAGTTTGGAGAGGTTGTTTGCAGCGATGAACAGCTGATACAGAACGTTAGTAAAGATGGCATGAGCAGAGGTCTAAAATGTGCGCGTGTGGTTTGCCTTGGCTCTGGCACTCTGTGATCTACCCTGAGAGGAACATGCCCTGGGGGGCCGCTGCTCCTTCAAGCTCACAGAGACAAATGCACACGGGGCAGATGTGAGCCCAGCCTGCAGCCTGGGGCCAAGCCTGTCCAACCCGCGGCCAGAAACAGAGCCAGTTCTAGAGCCAGCCACCAAACCACAGTAGATCCTGAGCATGGAACTATTTGGTGTTGTTACCCTCTGAGTTTGGGGGGGCGGGTAGCTTGTTATGCAGCATCACCTTAGCCAAAGCTGACTGGTACACCCATCGTGCCTCTAACCCACACATTTTTAACAAAGGTCCTGTGTCCTGCATGAGAAATGCCATCCCCCTAATTTTCCTGAGAGATTCTGACAGTCCAGTTATCATTTGTACAAAGTCGCAGGAGCACAGAACATGGCGTTATGCAGGGGGAGTGAATGGTGCCGCTGTGGTCCGACAAAGCCCTTTACTGCAGGGGATGAAGAGCTGAGGGCGGGGAGACATAGTGGGAGGGGGTTCCTTCCAGCTGGCCAGAAGGTTCCAGGCGGATTATTTTACCAGGTAGAGCAGGAAAGGCACGTAAGGGATGTCTTTTTGACTTGCTCTGCTCTGGTGATGTCTAGTTAGGGGAAGAACTTAAGCAGAAAGTATGGTGTTCTCTATGGTGGAAGTGGAAACTCACCTGCACCAGAGCCCCAGATTCAGCCCTGCTTCCAGGCTGGTTTTTGCCTGACCTCTGACCCCAGCCTGGATTTTCCTGGTGAACACAGCTCCAAGCTGGCTCCCCAGGCCCTTCTGCATGGTGGTCCCAGATTACCCAAAGCTACTGGAAATAGGACAGAGGTGTCTCCCCATTGCTTAGTGATGCAGACAAAACCAGGTGACAAGGGGGCTGTTGAAAGCTACGAGGGAGTAGCGTGGGGTGGGGCAGTCCTCCAAAATGACAGAGAGAAGGTGTGAGGCCCTTCTGCAGGGCTCACCCACAGGGGTTTGGCCCTTCCATGGTAAATGCCAAGGATGGCACATCTTGCCCATGAAACCAGGAAAACAGCTCTGGTCCTCAGTCCAAGGTGGGGAGACATTTTAGCAAAAGAAGAAGAACAGGAATGAGTCAGGCCCCTAAGGTCCAGGGTCTCTCGCACACCCTCCGGGGATGCCAATGCCGAAGATAACACCAGTCAGCCCCGCCTGGCTCCCTCAGGTCCAGCCAACGGCGAACATTCCCACTCCTTCTCCAGCAATGGGTCAGCAATCGGGTCACACACTTGGGCTGATCGAGGAGTGGCCAGGGGCCATCTACAGGGCTAGCCTCAAGCAGGCTGCAGCTCTGAGAGCATAAGCTGCCAACGAACATCCCGGAGCTGAATTTGGTCGACGAGGGGTTTAGAAGGTGCAGAAATACTGTATGCAGGACACCTCAAAGCAAGCACACAGGCTGCGTATTATAACTCCGTTTTATAAGTGGGGAAGCCAAGGTCCAGAGAGGCATTCCAGGAAATCCCCAGTGAGACCGCTGGGCAAACTCCGGCCCTCTCTGCCGCCCACCCTCTGCTCCCAGGCCAGGGGGGTCACTGAGTCAGCTCCTTCTCTTGCCTCAGGGGTCTGCAGCTGCTGTGCTCCCCCAGGAGAGGGGTGACTCTGGGTCCCGCAGACCGCGTGCCACTCCCAGGGCCCCAAGTTCTGCACCTCCCCCCCAGCTGTCCCCCGCTGACAGATCTGTCCCAAACCGGCACTCCATCCTGGGGACCTCTCCCACCCAAGGTCTGAGCAATGGCACTCAAGCTTTCCACTGCCCCAACACTCAGCTCGTGTCATCGGACGGCAAGACACACACCCAGAGGTGTCCCTAGTTGGTTTGAATGGTGGCTCCCTCAGAAGGTACGTCCACCCGGATCTTGTGGATAAGAACTTCTTAGGAAGAGGTATCTTCAGATGTAATTGACTTATGCAACTGTAATGAAGTTAAGGATCCTGAGATGAGATCATGCTGGCTTTGCGTGGGGTGGGGGGGCCTAAATCCAATGACACTGTCCTTAGAAGAGAAGACAGGATGGAGAGGATGACGTGAGGACAGAGGCGGAGAATGGAGGGATGCATCTACAAGCCAAGGAGGGCCAGGGACTGCTGGCCACCCCCAGAGGCTGGAAGAGACAAAGAAGGATCGTCCCCTAGGAACTTCAGAGGAAACGTTACCTTGCCGACACCTCAACTGCAGACTTCTCATCCGATTCCCTTCCCTCCCGCTCAAGAACGCACATGAGAACACCAAGGTCGATGTCATTATTACAGGACTCTTTCGCATCCACTCAAATTAACATACAGAAAAAATAAAACCATTTTCGAAACAACTTAACTGTTTTGTCTATTTTCAAACTATTTTTAACTTCTATCACCAAGAACTGGGAACACATTCACAAGGCTCGCGATCCCTGGCCCAGAACCCTCTTACCTGGGGAATGAACTTGGGAAGGGTTTTCATCTGTGACAATAAGCCAGACTCACCTTTCTCCTGAGCCATCTCTTGCAGACAGAAGTAGATGACCCTGGCTCCCAGGCTGAAGCCAATCAAGGTGACAGGTCTCCGGCCCTGCAGGAGACAGGACACAGGTATCTGGGGGTTGGTACACTTGCCAGTTCAGCATCGGCCCTGATGAGGACGGCCCTTGCACACTCCTTAGTGCTTGCTTCACGTTTAATGAATCATGCATCTGCTACCCCCGGTTGGTCCCAGAGCTCTGTTGTCTTAATCAGGACAGGCAGGACCCTCATTCATGCAGGAATTGCTTCCTCCGGGGCCGACAGGCAGCCTCTGGCTGGGTTGATTCCCTTTCATCTCGAACCCTTACCCGGCCACCATCTCTTCTTGCCCAGGGGACAGGATGCATCTGTTGGGTGGCAGATGACTACAGTGAAGTGGGGTGCCAGGGAGAGGAGTCAGAAGGTACCCCGGGGTGTGATGATGGGCACAAAGGCAGGGACACATGGGGGGAGAACTGTTCCGTTTCTAGATAGGAAGGTGGGACTGAAATATTGGCTTTAAATAAGAGAAGGTAGTAAGTTAGACACGGAGAAGGATTTTCTGACTAAAGAACTTGTAGGAAAGACAACTCCTAAGAAGAAGGGTTATGGGGGGTATCTGGGTACCAGCTCTCCATGGAAGGAGAGGACAGGAGCAGAGGAGCTCCAAAGGTCTGGTCTGGTCCCGCCAGTCTCTTCCTTTTCCTTGTTTTTGTGCCATACGTGCGTATTGACCCTCCCTCCCCCCACCCGCATCTACGTACGACGACAGGAAACCCTTGATCAAACAGTAGCGCAGTTCCGCAGGAACCGTGTGCAGCAGCTGCTTGTCATCCCCTAACACCCGCTCACCCCCCTTGGTCCGGGCTAACAGAACTCCTCAGTTTTGCTGACCCACAGCTCTCCGGCCAGAGACAAAGTCACTCCGACTCCCTTGCAGCTCGGGAGGGCCAAGGCATGAGAAGCAAAGAACGGCGTGATTTCCATGCCCTCCACTCTGCTGTCCTGCCTCTGTTTGGATGGGGAAGTTGTGCCAGCAGATGTATCTTGGACCAAAAGAGAGACCGAACGCTCAGGACGCATGACCATGACGTCAAGAGAGTCTGGGCTCCTGGTACTGCAAAGCCTCCCACATGGGAGGTAGAGTAATGGCCCCCCTGAGGATGGTCTCATCCGAACCCTGGGGCCCCGTGAGTGCCACCTATGTGACAGAGAGGTAGGCAGGAGGGTCAGAGTCAGACAGGTGATGTGCTGGCAGGAGCAAGAGACAGAGAGAAAGATCTGCAGATGCCACACTGCTGGCTCGGAAGCTGGAGGAAGGGAGCTACCGGCCAAAGAAAGTAGGTAGCCCTTTGGCAGCCAGAAAAGGTGGGGTCGTGGATGCTCCTGGGAGCCTCTGTAAGGGATGCAGCCCTGCAGACCCATGGTAGATTTCTGACCTCAGAGCTGTAAGACAATAAATCTGTGTTGTTTTAAGCCTATGGTCCTATGTTACAGCAAGAGGAAACGAAGACACATGGCATTGCCCCGGATGCTGACATCCAGGCTGTTCCAAGGGAGAGGGTAAACTCCTGCCTTGTTTAAGCCAATACCACTCTGGTCTTTGCCTTACAGCCAAACCTGGCACAGGACTTCTCTCTTTCTTCTGGCAAAGACACAGAAATCGGGGGGGGTCTGGTTTCTCAAGCAGTTTACCCATTGTGGCAGAAACTGCTGGTTGTCCCTCAATACCCATCCTCCCCTTTTCCCATAGCTGAACTTCAGCTGGGTTCACTGACACGCGGAAGAAAGATGACCTTCCCCAGGTTCTGCGCCAGTAGGGATGGTCCTAGGACCAGGGTCTGGCCAATGAGACGTTGGTGGAAATGCTACAAGGCCTTTGCTCTTTCATCTTCGGCCCTTCCTTTCTCCTGCTGGCTGGAGCTGATGCTGACATCTGGGACCATGAGGTCAAGACCACGGACAACAGAGCAACAAGCCAGAAGGCACCCGGACCTCTTCATGGCAAGCATTCTTGTGTAAGACTGCCTTCCTCAGCTTCTCCTTGAGAAACAGACTTCCGCCTTGTGTGAACCACCGTGATTTGGGGTTTTCTCTCACTTGCAGCTCAAACTAATCCTAACCATACAGTCATCTCTGAAACTTTTCTCAAAACTTCTGTCTCCATTTATTCAAGTTTATTTTGAAGGGGGCAGTTTCATTTCCCTGGTAAGTACTGGATTCAAATTTTTAAGTTTTTTTTTTAAAGATTTTATTTATTTATTTGACAGAGAGAGACACAGCGAGAGAGGGAATACAAGCAGGGGGAGTGGGAGAGGGAGAAGCAGGCTTCCCAGGGAGCCGGATGTGGGACTCGATCCCAGGACCCTGGGATCATGACCTGAGCTGAAGGCAGACGCTTAACGACTGAGCCACCCAGATGCCCTAAAGTTTTGTTGTTGGTTTTTTTTTTTAATAAAGATTTATTTATTTTTTTGAGAGACAGAGAGAGAGAGAATGCATGAAGGGGGCGGGGGAGAGAATCCTCAAGCAGATTCCCCAGTGAGCGCAGACCCCGATGCAGGGCTCAATCCCAGGACCCTGAGATCGTGACCTGAGCTGAAGCCCAGAGCCAGACGCTTAACCAACTGAGCCATCCAGGCGCCCCCAAATTTTAAAAGTCTGATGATCATTTATCTTCCTGACCATCGTACGGGGTATTTGGACCACTGAAGATCCGCTCAGATGGTAGCTCTATGCTTGCAGGAAGGAGCTCCTGGCCCCGCCCATCCCCACAGATGTCCGTTATTCAGTGCTTACCTAATTACCTGCTAGAAATGCACAGTCTCAAATTCTCTTCTCACTGGTCCATCCTGGGGTACTTTTGTGACTTGAAAGATGGGGCAGTGAAGACCGTTCAGCACCCCCCAAAGCCACTAGACTGTCTCCATGTGGGCTTCTCTCTAGGGCTGACCTCTGTGCACAGGTCAGCTCACTCACTTCCCCTCTTGCCCCCGCCCCCGCCCCACAGCCAGTCCCAGGTACCTGCTGCCGGGAGAGCAGGATGTGGGCCAGGTGCTTGCCGACCTCCGCTGACCGATGGAGACACACACCCCAGGGGTTGTCGATGACGTTGGCGACAGTGAGGAGTGAGGCTGGCCAGGTCAGGGCAGCCACGATGCCTGCAGCGGTGGGATATCAGTGAGGAAAGCAGTGTGGGGAGGTCCTTCTAGGGAAGTGACGGGCTGGCTAATGGATGCCCAAGTGAACGCATGCAGAGTCTTGAACTTGGAACCCACATGTTTTCCAAGGGCCGCCAAACTGCTAGATAGCAATGAAGAAAATTGCAGCTCATGCATTTTTGATTCATGGACTAGATTCCTTCTGTTCAAGCATCTGTCATGGTTGGGATTCCAAAGATGGCCTTGATTTGTCACTCCATCCTGTGTCCTCCCACTTTGTGCTCTACTCAGCGGTGCCCAGCCCTGCCCTGCCATCCACACTAGGCTCAGCCATGGGACTTGTTTTGGCCAACGAGATATGAGTCGATGTACGACTTGAAATGGTTTTGTGCATGGGGGCCAGCCTCTTGTGCACTTCCGCAGCTGGTGTGGGCTAGCCTGCTGATCCCAGGGGGAGGGTGACAGACAAACGGAGCAGAGCCGAGTTGCTCTCGTTGCCCCAGACAAGGCCAGCCTAGATCACTGGACAGTCGGCTGATCCACAGATGCATGAGCAGGCCCAGCTAGGATCAGTCAAATGAAGCCTTGTGACTTCTCTGCTATCATGAGAAATGACTGCTGTTTTAAGCTACTGGGTTTTGGGGTTGCTTGTTATGCAGCAATAGCTAATGGATAAGCTGTGTGACAATGTGGTTGGCTGTTTACCTGTCCCCTCCCCGCAAAGACCATAAACTTCATGGACAGGAATGCAGCCTTAACTTCTCTGTGTTCCTAAAGCCCAGCACAGTGCCTGGCTCCCTGGGAGCCCCGGGCGTGCAGAGATATGGTAGCAGGGGGCATGCTGCTAGTGGTGGGACAGGCAGGGTGTGGGGTTGGGGGGCTTACCGGACAACACCGTGTACTTCAGGGCCTCCTGGGCCACCATGTTGGCCAGACCACTGAGGATGGTCTCCAGGGCATTGCCAAGCTCCATCAGGTACTTGGCCTCCCACGCCAGGCAGTACTGCTCGCGGCTGCGGGCTAAGGCCGTCCATGGGGCGCTGAAGGTGCCTAGGGGAGAACACAGGTAGGTGGGGTCTCTCCTGTCTGTGACGGGGACCACGTGTCCTTGTGGGCAGACAGAGGACCACCCCTGCTGATGAGCGGCAGCTGTCAGCGAAGCACGGCACCACCCCAGGAGTCAGCAGGCTGGGGTTCGAGTCCCAACTCTGCATTCATTAGTAGTGGGGTGACCCTGGGCACACCACTATCCCACCCGGAGCGTTACTGTGCTTATCTGCGCAGTGGGCAGATGAATATTTAGCTCCCTTTAGAGTGTAGTCGTAGGAATGAAGTGTTGGAACTTCTCTATGTGTGAAGTGCTACTCTCTCTCACCCTGCAGTCATTCTGGCATCAGCTGCTGAGGATGGATGATAGGAATGTGCACTGCGCCAAGCAGCTGGCTCTGGGAATCAGCGGGAAGTCATTCTACAAACTCGGGCTGGGAGATGATCTGGAAGTTTGGAGCAGAGGCACCTGAGCCCAGCTCTGTCATGATCTCACTGGGTCACCCGGTGTTTCTGAGCTTCAGTGTTCTCACTTAGGGACTAGAAATGGGGGATGAGGACAGCACCACCACAGTGACCAACGTCAGTCACAAGTCCAACCCTGACCGTCTGCCTCCCTCTCTCCCCTGCTCCGTCCCCTCCCTCTGCCCTGAGTGATAGTGTCACCTCTCCGGCATGACACTGAGGCCCTCGGTGAGCTGGTTCCTGCCTCCTTCCCAGCCCCGTTGCTCCCCAATTTCTCGCTTACACTCTGCCCACCCCCCCGAAAAAACCTGCGTCTTCCACGGCCTCTGAAATAGGGGCCACCACTGCCCTGCTTCGTAGCTGGGGAAACTGAGCCATCCAGGCCTCGGTCGGCAGGGACAGGGACGTGCACACATCACACAGTCACTCTATTCGGCGAGAAGGACTAGGGAGTCAGCTCCCTGCCTGACTCAAAGGCCTCATGCCTACCGGATGGTGCCAGGCCAACGCAAGCACCATCCTGAGGCTGCTCCCCCGCTCTGCAGGGACCCTGTCACGGCTCCGCGACAGCTCAGGGTGGAGAGCAGGGGCTGGGGTGGGGGAGGATAAGGTGTGGAGGGCTGTATGCCGGCTCAGCAGCTTCCTGGTTGCTTGGCTCAGAGCCAGGCATGCCCCCTCGGGTCCTACATCTCTAAGAATGGAATGATAACATCTGACTCCTGAGTGGGGATCACGTGAGAGGTCGCACGCACTGCATTATATAAACTGTAAAGCGCTGTATCGCCCCGAGGCCCCAAACATGCGCTATGGAGCCAGACAGAACAGTGGTAAGTCTGCCCCAGTCCCTGGCTAGCCGGGTGACCCCGAGCAGCCTTTGTGAACCTCAGTTTCCTTATCTATAAAACAGGGGTGACAATGATGCCCACCTCCCTGGCCTGGAGCGAGGGACTCAGTGAGCAAGGCCCCCCGAGGTGCTCGCACTAGTGTCCGGGTAACTGCAAAACTGCTATCACTAGTGTGAGTAATCCTATTTAACCAAGGGCCGGGGGGCAGAGAATCCAACTCCCTATCGCACGCAGAAGCAACGGCTTCTCTCCCGGCAGAGACGGGAAAAGCTACCTTTTTCTCCCTCCCGAACTTCATCTAGTTTGCTCGTTTCTTTGACCACCCCCCCAACCTCCCTCCGCCCCGGTCTGGAGAGCACGCTGCACCAGGCTGCTGGAGGAGAACACTGAAGAGGGTTTCTTCCCGCTACAGTGAATTTGGCCTTCGACCTGGGGCCAACAGAGCAAATCACACTGAATTTGGCCTTTGACCTGCAGCCAACAGAGCGAGTGAGGGTAAAACAAAGAGAAGGAATTTGTTTCCAGATTGGGCAGAATCGCAAATTCCTTAACTTAGATGCCTGCTCTCACTCCTTCCCTCCTGTCTCGGTCCTGCCTGCAGCGTGGTATCACGGAAAGGAGTGAACAGAGACACCCATGAACTTTGGGTCGGGAGACAAGGGTTCGAATCCTGCATCTGCCTCTCTCCTGAACCTCATGAGACCCCTCTGAGCTTCCTCTTCTGCCAGATCAGGACAGGAACAGCCCCCACCTCAGGGGGTGGATGTGAGGATCCCGTGGGGTAAGGCATATCAAGTTCCCACTTTGTGGGTAAAATGCCTGACTCGGGGTAGGCACAGACTACGTGCTCAGTCAACGTTGGAGGCTCACTGTGTGGGGACGGGGCCTGGCCATCCCACACCAATAAGGCTCTGGCACTTGACCAGATGCGGGGGGATGGATGCCTCTATACAGAGCCTGGACATTTTCTCACTTGCTTTCTTCTGTCTTATTTAGAAGAGCTGTGGCTTCTACCCTCAGATCCCAGAGATCTGGAAACTCAGGAGAGAGATCTGGAAACTCAGGAGAGAGATCTGGAAACTCAGGAGGCTGCCAGCACGTGTCTGGTTGGGATGCTCCAGGTTCCTTGACCCACCGTGCTCTCTCTCTCTCTCCCTCTCTCTCTCAGTGATGAACTGTTTGCTGAGCCTCACACTGGACACTTGCAACAGTGAGCCAGGCAGTGGGTGGACCACGGTGTTAGTCCTTGATGCCACCCTGGTTAGAATCTCCCCGAAACGCATGTTCAAATTAGAGCAGCAAAGGGGACAAATGTTTGTGGAATGTCAGTGAGAAACCAGGTGCTTTCCATGTGTTAGCTTGTTTAACTTAAACTTTGCAAGTATCCTGAAAGGCAGGAATAATTTGTTCTATTTTACAAATGAAGCAGCTGAGGCACGGAGAGGTTAAGTAATTTGCTTGAGGTCAAGATGTACGGATCTCTCACCTACTTCAAGTCCTTTCAACTTTAAGTCACATGCTTAAAATCCTTTGCTCTCTCTTACTTGCTCTGAGGATAAATTCAAACTCCTTGCCTCACCTCACATGCTCCAGCATGATCTGACCCTGTCAATACCTCTGCCTTCTAGCTCCCTGTTCCAGTCATCCTGTGTTTCCTTTGCACCCCTGGGCCTTGGTACATGCTGTTCCTTTGCTTGGTTTATACTTCTTGCTCCTTCTTTACCCAGTTAACTCCCAGTCTTTAGCCTAAATGTCACTTTCTCCAGGAACCTTCCCCTCATTCTCCAGAAACACTCTGTTGTTTCTTGTACTGTGCCATCCTTAAACCTTCCCTGTAATTATTGCTCAGTCATCCGTTTTCTCCCTTGGATCACATGTTCCATGGGAGCCAAGGCCATGGCGGTGCTGCTCACCACTGAATTCCCAGGGTCTGGCTCAATGTCTGGCATGTGCTGTGTACAATACTCTATAAGTACTGCTCAATGGATGAATTAATAGGTGAATGGGTGGGTGAATGAATGGGTGAATGGATGGATGGTTGAGTGGATAGGTGGGTAGATGGATGCCTGCATCGATGAATGAATGGGTGGGTGGATGGTTGGACAAATGGATAGATAGTTGGATGGATAGATAGGTAATGGATGGATGGATGCACCAATGGATGGATAGACGGATGAGTGGGTGAACAGCTGAATGAGTAGATAGGTGAGTGGGTATATGGTGATGGATGGGTGGATGGATGGATAGGTGGGTGGATGGATAGATAGTTGGGTGGATGATGGATGGATGGATGTGTGGATGGATTGGTAGACAGGTGGATGGGTAGGTGGATGGATGGTTGACGGATGGGTGGGTGTGTGGATGATGGACGGATGGATGGATGGATATGTGCACAGATTGATGGATAGATGAAGAGTGGATGGGTATGGGATGAAGTCATCTCACCTTCTTGAGCCTCAGTTTCCTCCTCTGCAAAATGGGGCTCCTCCCCCACCCCTCCAGCAGTATACACAGGCAAGGGCCTAGGCCAGGGTTTGGCCCACAGCAGCTGTCCCAGCTCAGTTAACACCTCCCCCATCCCCCCACCCTTCTCTGTTCTGCCCCTGGTCCTCACGGTATTTGCCGGATGCCAGCCATCCTGTGATGGCGATGGTGATATGCAGCTGCCTGCCTTCTGTTAGAGGCAGAAACGTGAACTCTTCAATGGCCCCGACACGCTTCTTCATCTTGTATCCTAAAGACCCAGATACAAAAAATGAGGGTGGAGATGACTGGGGACCCCAGGAATGTTTGAGTGGCTCTCTGTGCTCGCACACTCACAGTGAGTGCCAACTGCGTGTCCTCTCCCTGGACAAATGTCTCATTTTTAAGTCATTACAGGGTAGTTGCGATTATTGTCCCCGATTACAGCCAAGGCTAAGACACTTCCCAAGGCTGGCCGGCTCCCAACGGCAGAGCTGGGGCTGGAACTCACTGCTCCATCCTGACCCCATTGGTTCTAGATCTTTTCTTCCCACGAACATCACCGGTGTAACACACTCCTCCCAAAAAAGTGGATCAAACTGACCATGATTCTCCATGTGGGGAGGGATGGATCCCCCTCCCCCCGGGGAGTGGAACAGGGATCTCTGTGTGACTAGGGGGCTGCTGACACATATGATTTGGAGCCCCCCTCCCCCGGTGATACTGGTAAACGCAGGAAGCCTGTTGCGAGTTCCCGCAGGGCTGGGACCCAGCGTGAGAAGAGTCGTGTCCTCCTCTCTCCCCTGGGGAGCCATCCCGGGTGAGAATCTGGGCCTGTCCTGTAAGAGCCGGGCCTCCCTGGCTGAACATCCCCCAGGGGTCACCACTCCTTTGGAACCTTACCTGTCAGGCCAGCTCCAGCCGCCCCGAACAGCGAGGTTATGACGGCGATGCCGGCCACCGAGCCCAGAGCTGCTGCCCCAGCACTGCCAATGATCGTGGCGGCCCCAGCGGCCACGAGAGGGGCAGCTAGACCCCCGGTCACGCCTGCAAGGAAAACAGCCCATGGTAGGTAAAGGCGGGAAGACCCGGCCTTCCTGGTTCTTCCTCCACTGGCCGCCCGCTGCCTTCCACAGATGCTTCTAAGAAGGCGAATGAACAAACGCACTTCCTGCTGACCGAGCACCTGGTGCGCGCTGGGGGCCACCTCCCAGCTGACCCCCTTACACTGTCCTCTCTAGCTTCGAGCCTGGCATCGTGCCTCGCTCCGCACCACCCCGGCCCCTGTGGCCCCCGCCCAACCTGGGCTGGCCTTACCGATCACGGTCCCGCCCCCGACAGTGGCCAGGCCTATCAGGAGATAGCGTTTCCATTTCCTCCGGTTTTCTTTCTTCTTCCGGGACGCCTCAGCCGTCCTGGGGGAAAAGAGGTTGGTCTTTAGGGCTGGCTGTGCCTGGCACCCCTTGAGACCACCCCGCCTCACCAAGCCCCCAGCTAGGATCCATGCTTGCACGCTGCCATGCAGAGCGAGGTACTCAAGTCACCCTGGGCCGGTCGATGGTTTTAAGAAGCTGAGAAGTTTCCAAAACCCAGCTGGGAAATCCCAGTGTGTGGGATGTGCTACTTACCCAATGGATCCGTCCTAACAGGGTTGCAATTTGAATAATAAGAAGACAAAAAAAATAATAATAGCAAAAGCAGCACAAAAAGTATCTTTGAACAGATGGACCCAGAACAAGTACAAATACAATCACAGACGCCATCGGCCCCGTCTGCCCTTCCCCTCCCTGCTCCCCACCATCTGATCCCATCTCCCACTGAAAATGTCAGCTCTCAGAGACCTTGGCCTTGGGGCAATAGCTACAATCGGCCAGACTTGACCTTTAAAAGCTATAAAATCGAGCAGAAAGGAAGCATTTGGGGTGAACTGGGTCAGGTGAAGCTGAGGACGGCTGCCCTTAGCGTGCATCAAGCCCGGCCCCTGGGGCAGGTGGGTGGCCCCCATGCTGTGGGGCTATCAGGAGCAGGATGAGGGACCCAGGGCAGGTCGGTGCAGCATGAACTCTGAGCTGAGGTTGGAGTTTGGACAACAACTCAATGTATAGCGTGACAGCATGATGATCAAGAGGGAAAATGGTTAATATTTACTGAGGGATCCTTCTTGCCAGCCGCCGTGCTTTGTACTTCACATGGTTTCTCTTACCCTGGAAGCAGTTTTATTATTGTGCCCGAATGACAGACCAGTGAAGGGACAACAGCATCACCCTCCTGAGGGGCTGTGGGCATCGAGGAAGAGCATGCCTGTCACGCATTTAGCATGATGGCACACCGCAAGGGGTGACCGAAAAGGTGGCTGCTATTATCACGAGACTATGTGCGTTTCCCCAAGCCTCAGCTTCCTCTTCTGTAAAATGGGGTTAATAACAGCTATCACGTCAGGTTGCAGGTTGTAAAGATGGAACGCATTCTTTCTTCATCCACCCAACCAACAACCCGTCACCAAGGGTGGGCTTCGTGCTGGTACTTCTGCACGTCGAGTATCTGTGAGCAGAACCACGCAGCCCTCGACCAAGACTTGTTTCCTTCCCATCTCGTTCCTCCTGAACCGCACGTTGTCTTGAGAAGTAGCTCATCCTCCAGTCATCGAAGAGAAGTGGGATTTGAACTGGGCGTTCAGGAGCTGCTCCGCCGTTTGGTTCTCTGCCGGCTCACCTCAACGAATTCTTTTCCCACGCCCCCCTCCCGGGTGTCGAGGACAGCCCTTCACAGCTACTTCACTAAGGGAAGCGGAAACCCAACATCAATGTCACCACGTACACCACAGGCGCTGCTTCTCGGTGGCTGAAATTCATGCCATCGGACGTGGGATGAGGCTGAACTGTGTGCATCGAGCAAAGCAGAAGGCAGGATGGCGACAGAGCGTGGGTTCTGACGTCGGGATTTGACCTTGTGAACTTGACCTCGACCTCTGCTGTGTGGTAGTGGAGCACCATCCACCAGGTTCGGCTATCCCTCCCTGTAATGGTCCTCCCTGCACAAACATTACACATCCCTGCCCTGTTGCACTGAGGGGCCCCATGACCCACTGTCGCCAATGAAAGGTCAGTGGAAGTGGTGTGTGCGTGTCATTTCTGGAACAATCTTTAAGAGTCAGCGCAGGGGTCTGATGAGCCTCCTTCTGCTCTGCCACGAACCAGCAACATTCCAGATAGGGGTCACTCCGTCACCCTGGACCCAGGACCCAGGACCGACAGTGCAGTGTGGACTAAAGCCACTGCGAGTCTGCAATGGACACATACGATGAACAAGAAATGCACCTTTGTTGCTGTAAGCCATTGAGATTCGGAGGTCATTTGTTAACTGCAGCAAAAGCCAGTCTATCCTGTTGGTTGAGCTACCTACTGTGACTAAGGACCAATTATTTGACCCATCTGACTTGCCTCCCCCTGCAAGTGGGAATAATAATAGCACTTCATCCCCGGGGGCACTGGGAGGGCAAATGAGATAATCCACACACAGCGACTGGCATATTGTAAACGGCCAGTATGTTTGCTGCTATTATCGGTCCTTTCATTATTACGATAACTGTCTCCTACATGCAGGCTGGAGATATACTTTGGCCCTTGATCGCTAGCACCACTCCGTGCAAACTGGAACGTTGGCAATTAGTTGTTTTTGGCAGAGTTCAAGGTCTGAGGAAAAGACTCGGCTGCTGAGGACGTGCAACAGGAACGCGCATGCGCCAAGCAGCTGTCTCTGAATCAGCGGCATCTCATTTCACAAACTCGGGCTGGGACACAGTGCAGAAATTTGGGGCGGAGGTATCCGAGCCCAGTTCCACTACGATCTCGCCGGGTCACCCAATACTCCTGAGCTACAATTTTCTCACGTAGGGACTGGAAATGGGGGGATGAGGACAGCACCACCATAGTGACAGATAGTATAACCCTGATCGTCTGCCTCCCTCCCTCCCAGCCTCCGTGTCCCTTCCCTCTGCCCTGAGTGAGGATAGTGTCACCTCTCCAGCATGACACTGAGGCCCTCGGGGACCTGGCCCCTGCCTCCTTTCCAGCCTCGTTGCTCATTATTTCCTCACTCATGGTCTGCCCTCCAGAAACACTGCACTGCCCCCGGGCACGGCCTGGGCCTCAGCCCCTGTGCTCCTGCTGGGCCTCGGCTGTCAAGGACCTTCTCACCTTCCTCTGGCTGCCTATACATTAGTCATCATTCAAGAGTCACCTCCTCCAGGAAGCCTGCCTGAGCCCCAGGGTTGCCTAAATGCCTGGACTCTGGGGCCCCTGACCCTCTGTACTCAGCATGGAATTCTAGACCACTGGTTTTCAAAGGGTGGGGCTTTTGTATCAACTGCATCACAAGCCCCCAGCGTAGCTGTTAAAATCACAGCTTTCTGGGCCAGAAGCTCTGGGCATGCAGGTGGTCAGGGAGCTGTACCCATAGCAAGCCCTCCAGGGACCTGCTGTATCTTAAGTTGGACAATTGCCCGGACAGGACCCTTCTTGCTCTCTACCCTCAGCAGCTTGTCCTGGGCTCGGGACCTGGACGGTGCTCAGAAAACCTTCTCTTGAACAGAACCTAATCATTCCGACAAGGACTGGACGTGAACATGTTGCAACAGTATCTACTCCCCCATGCACTGCCCACATCTATAAAGCCGGCGAGGCATTTTGGCTAAATATTTTATTTAGCCAGAGAACAGGCCAGTCACCATCAAGCATAAAACTTCTGAGCTACTAGGACCCATCTGAAATGTTGTAAAGTTATATAAATTTCTGCTTCTAGATTCCTCCTGCAGCGACATCTGTGCAACCATGATACTAGATAATCTTCCCTTTTAGCGGAGTTTATGCAGAGTCGGGGGGAGCTCATACCCTAAAGGGAATAAAATGCCTATACAGTAAATAGGGTTCTTGAAGCTGTTTTACTTAAATGTATGAATCCTAGTGTATCAAATCCATTTAACAAAGATTAGATGGATGATATACTCTAATCTCTAGCATTATTATTTAAATGTTTATAAAAATTTGCTGAATCAAAGAGAATACAGTATTTTCCCCCAAGTTATTTAGCTAAGGACCTCTCTCTCAATATTAACCCAAACTGATTTCTTTACTTATTTAACTCGAACGTTCTTAATAACTGTTTTGTACATGAAACGAAGGGCTTTGCCAATCATCATTAATTAACACAGCATTTTACTCTTGCAGTTAATTCCATTGTCTGACTGAATTTCAACGTCTAAAGCACCACAGGAGGTGCTGGCTGGGAGTTACGTCTACAATGCTTCCTATATTTGGATATGGGAATTCAGGGCATGACGCTAAATCCAAATGGAGCCCCGTTCCCATTATTGACCGCCCACAGGTCAGATACCATGGCAATCTCTGCCACGCTCATGCTCTGGGGTGCCAGAAATGACTCTGAGTTGGTGTTCCACGTCAGCCTTCCAAGGACAGAGGTTGAAGCCATGGATACATGGTGAAGAACAAGACACCTATGTTGCCCATCTCATGGATCCACAAATAAAGGTCACCCCCTGCCACTCATCTCCCACCATGAGAGGGTGTTTCTTATCCTTATCACCATTATCGACACCTTGTCTTTCTTTTTTTAAAATCACCTTCTCCAGTTGATAGAGGGAGGGCTTATTTCTGGGAGTTCTAGAGACAGATTCCTAAGTAAAAGCACAGAAAGCCTCATTAAGAATGATCTTTACTGGGGCGGCCGGGTGGCTCAGTCGGTGAAGCATCTGACTCTTGATTTCGGCTCAGGTCATGATCTCAGGGTCATGAGTTCAAGCCCCGCATTGGGCTCCACACTGGGCATGGAGCCTACTTAAAAAAAAAAAAAGTATCTTTACTGCTTTCTTTAGAATTAAGGAGGGAACCTGGGGGTGTCAACCATGCCGTGAGGGATGCACTGGGTGCCGTTCAGATGGATACGGTGGTTGAATCTGATGGTGCCACTGGCCAGTGGTGTGACCTTGGCCGAGGTACGTCACCCCTCTGACCTTCTGTTTCTTCCTCTGCAGAACCATCAGGGGACTATCTGTGCATCAGATGAGATGGCATCTTGTCCTGCATCTACTGAGCGCTCAGGGACAGCTACGTGTTGACCATGTCATTCTGATGTGGTCAGTGTTAAGCCAGCAGGACATGCACTAACATTTATGGGCACCTACTATGTGCTAGGCGCTGGTCCAAGCTTCTGATCTGCATCCATTCATTTAATCCTCCTAATAGCCCTGCGATGGAGATACAGCCATCATCCCTCTGCTGGAGGTGAAGGAGCTGAGGCACAGGGAAGTGAAGTCACCGAACATGTGGGGGAAGCTCGGGTGGCCTCTGGGCTCTGCGTGGGGGGGAACCCAAGAACAGAAATGTACATCATCCCCCGAACCCGAGCTGCAAAAGATCGCCTCAGGGTGTCGAGTGATAAGCTCACCTTGCAGAAACACAAACCGTGGAGCTAAAAGGAACCTGCACAGAATTTGATCCTCTACTTGTCTAGGTGAAAAAAACGTGCCGTTGCCCAGAGAGGGAAAGCAACATGCCCAGGGCCACACAGACATTTAGTAGCAGAATCACACTGAGAACTAGGTCTCCTGGCGCAATAGTCTCTAGGCCTCCCCTGGGTATCAGACCCTTCCAGAGACCACAGGAAGAATCTGAAAGGTCTCCAGAGTCCCTAAAGCAGAATTTAAAACTTACACATGTGGAGTATTTTTCTGAGGAAAGGGCTCATGTGTAGGAATGTGAACGATGATGATGTACTACAGCAAATAATGATATTTTTCAACCAGTTACTCTGTGCAAGTCCTGCTCGAAGCACTTCCCATATATGAACTCATTTGAGCCCTCCCAAGGACCCTATAAGGAGGGTGCTATTATTGTCCCATTTTGCAGATGAGGAAAACGGAAGCCCAGAGAGGTTAAATAACTTCCGCAATGTCACACGCTGAGCTGGGCTTTCCTAGAACTTCTGTTTCGCATCATCTCTGATCTGGCATTATGAGTATCGGCAAAACAGATCCTCTTGGTAACATGTTTTTCTTCTGATAATAACATTTCCAAACAAACAGCTAAGATATTCCAAGCATACATACATGCATGTGCGTGTCCGTGTGCAACAAGACAGGGCTCTGGGCCCTGCTCGTGACTATGGTCATGGGCCTGGATCCAGGTGTTTCTTTACTGACACAGCTCTGGGAATTAACACAAGCCTGTTTGTTCTCAGGTTATTTCAACAGATCAAGTTGCTTCCTTTCTCCAGGAAACAGCCCCTTCCTTTGCCCTACTAACCCTAGGCAGGAGGGCAGCTCCCCAGCTCTGAAGCTGGCTTCAAAGCTACGTGGGACTGGCGCAAACTGGCCGCTCCAAGAGAGCCATCGTGCTGGACAAAGAGGGCGCTGGGAGACGTGCCTGGTGCAAAGAGCCCGCAATTAGACTGTGACCGGGATTGACTGATTGCTGTGGTATCAGATCCCGTGGAACGTGTTCCGCCAAGAGCTGAGCTCTGGCCAAGCGACCGGGACAATTTCCCTCTATACACGCCTGACCATGCATAGATAGCAAAGCCGCTCTGCAGCTGGAAGGTACCGGAAGGGAAGGACTCCTATCTATTGCGCCCCTGCTACGGGCCAGCCCTGGGCCGAGCCCTCCACACGACCATGTTAGGTTTTCACAGTGACCCTGGGAAGATGCTAACCTTATTCCCATTTTACAGATAAGAATATTGTGGTTTAGGGAAGGGGGGCGCTGTCCAAGGTCAACAAGTAGATGGGTGTCAGAGATAGGATTTTGATCCAGGCCACTCTGGCCCATGGACAAGGTATTCCAAGAGCCTGAGGTGGTGAAACGGGGTGCCAGGGTCACAGACTATTGATGTCACAGACTCACGCCCCCCCCCCAGCCATAATCCATTTAATCCCCACTTTGTACAACTGAGGACTGGGGACCAGAGAGGGGAAGTGACTTGCTAAGGCCACACATCGAGTCAGGGCTGCATTGGGACTCTTGGTCCAGTGCTCCTTCCATCCTCCTGCACCAGCTCTTAATGGTGGGGAGGGAAGAGGGGAGCATCTGTTATCTGCAGGGCACTCAAGCGGAAATCCTCAATTCCTGGCAGGCAGGGCTGGGGTCACAGGGCTCCCTTACTCAGATTCCTCCTCTTTGGTTTCCTTCAGGCTCTCAAGGAACGTCTCTTCAAGGAGATCCAGCTCCCCCAAGGGCACTCGGAAGAGGGAGGTCATGTGGCAGATGAGGACGCGGGCCCGTGCATCATAGCGCCCTTGAAAGAGAGAAACAAGGGCAGAGAATCAGTTTAGGTTTTAAGCACAGAGACCTTAACAGCAGTGTAACAGGTACAGCCCCAAGCCTGGAAACGCCCTACATGCACAACCCCACCGGAGGTGGTCAGCTAAACCACAGGCCAGCCTCCTGGATGGGATACAGTGCAACGCTGAAAACCACCGACCAGAGGCAAGGTGGTATTTTTCACCAAATTAGCAAAGATCAATTTTTTTAATCCCAAAGCTGTTAAGGAGGTGATGAAAACAGGTGGGTGCTCGAGGACCTCGCTGGTGGGAGTGTGCATTGATATAAACGGCCCGGAGGGCCATTTGACAATACGGATCAAAACCTGAGAACAGGGGTGCCTGGGTGGCTCAGATGGTTAAGCGTCTGTCTGCCTTTGGCTCAGGTCATGATCCCAGGGTCCTGGGATCAAGCCCCACATCGGGCTCCTGGCTCAGCGGGGAGCCTGTTTCTCCCTCTCCCTCTGTCTCTCTCCCTGCTCATCCTCTCTCTCTCTCTCTCTCTCTGTATCTCTGTGTCTCAAAGGAATAAATAAAATCTTTAAAAGCAAACAAACAAACAAACAAAAAACAAAAAAACCCTGAGAACAGCGTGTACTCCCAAAATCATAGAGACACAAAGTAGAACAGTGACCAAGGGCTCGGGGAGGGGGAAAAGAGGGCATTAGCATTTAGGGGGACAGAGTTTCAGTTTTGCAAGATGAAAAGAGCTCTGCAGGGGCACCTGGGGGGCTCAGTCGGTGAAGGGGAGGCCCTCTGGGGGGCTCCCAGTCGGTGGAGTGGCCTACTCTTGGTTTCGGCTCAGGTCATGATCTCG